AGATGTAAAGGTTGTATCAGACAGCATCGAGGAGGATTGCACAGACTCCTGTGTTACACAAGCAAAACAAAGGGTCTTGACATGTTCCAGTATGGATCTTTTGCTTCCAAAGAAGCCACTGAATGCTGGGTTTTATGCTTTTGATTATGAGGGAACTAGAAAATTAAAGACAGTAATTGCCTGTGCAAAGGACTGCAGCATGGCTGTGACGTTAAATTGCCAAATCCATCACCAGCATAGGCAGGGTGAAATCTTACATCTTGTGCTTCAATGCCAAGCTACCCTGCAGCACCCATGGAGCCTTATCCAGCACAGGAGCATCCTAAACTTACTTGCATTCAGCTGGAGGAGCCCTACTGTGCCATGCTGGGCTGCAGGAAAAGCTGGGCACTGACAGGCTTGCAGGAGGTACGGACTAAAGCACCTTCCCATAGGGATTCCAGTGAGAGCTGCTTTGTGTGGGTCTGAGGTTATCAATCTTGTCTTTGAATCAGGACTGTACTGGCCTGCACTAGATCTGAAATCATTGTGGCCATAGCTGGGACTGCCTGCTAAACTTGAAACAAAACACTTAAGAGTTTCACTCCCTGGCAACCTCCATTGCAGGTGTACTCTGAACTAAAGCACGAGAGCATCAGCCGCCCTTACAGAGGTTCAGCAAGGAAATTACTTGGGCACTTAGCTCTAGGCCTTGACTGCTGTAACATTGCTCACAAAATATGAAAGTCATGCTTGGCCACTCAAGTGGAAAGCTCATGAAGGCTCACTTCTCAAACTGCTCTAGCTAAATCCACAAGGTCAATGCTTTTATGGTCTCTTATTTGGGCCAAGCATGACCGTACCCAGTGAGCAGGCATGGTACGGCAGCTGAGCCTCACATGAAAAAGTACAGGTACACGTGACAGGACTTTAAAAATAAGTCACAATCGGGAAAGTCCAACAGCAAATGCACCTTTGATCAGTTTTCAAGGAGATCGTGAATATTCTTTCACAAATCTAAAATGCCCTAATAAGTTCCAGTTTTAATTTCTAATTTTTATAATTAAATGAAGGAGAAGAATAAAGGAAAGCAGTGTCATTAGATGTACATGCACACAACAACCGGCAGGGAACAATTTGTTTCTGTTTTAATCAATTCAGCATCAAATGACCATTCCACTGGAATACCTTCAGAGAAGCAAACAGGCAGCAAACACGGGGATTTGACAACACAGCAATCTGCTGACTGTCACTTGGATATTCATAAGGAACAAATCGCTCCCACCTTTAGATTTTATATCATTTGTTATAAGAAGTCATAAATAATTGAAAGTCACATGATAAATTATTCAGCTAAGCCCACAGTTTCCAAGGAATCCTGGCATGAGTCTGGATTAAAGCTATAATGCAAGTCAGATGCAGAAGATGAGCGGACACCCCACAGTTACCACACAGTGGAGCAGTCCAGGGAGTTTGGCACTTGTCAGCGTGTCCTTTCCACCACAGGGACACATAAATGCCTTGTGAATATTTATGAACTAGAAGTGCCTATTGCCTACTGTGGTTTCAGCTGCTTGCCCATACTTGGTTGTGAATCAGTGACACTTAACCCAGAGCTTCCCTCAGCACAATTGATCAGGACATTCATTTTCTTTAAGTGAAGGCGCTGTCCTTCAAGGCTAGTGCTGAACTTATCTCTGCTGTAAACAATTTTGTCTTTAGCCATAATTACCTGTTATCTTTAACAGAGAAGATATTCAGGGGACTAGCATAGAAGTGACTGCAGGAATATTACTTAGTTGTAAAAATGCTGCCACAACCCTGCTACTTTCTTTATCTGAACCAAGTTCTCTGCTTTGGGTAGGTCTAGGGCCATAATGTCCAGGAACAAATAAATATCAAATAATCCACAAACTAAGACATCCTGTGTAAACTGGAACTAAAAAGCTTGTTTTTGTACAGATGTGTCTCTTGTGCTTAACTGACTTTAGGGTCTAAGATATGAATTCTGATTCTAGTTTCTTCCAAAAGAAGGGGAGAAATGGATAATCTCTCTCCTGTATAGATTGTTTAGTACATGAGAGACTTTGTTCATAGTGAAGAACGTCCCAGGTCCTGACCTCTCTCTCTCTATGAGAGGTTCTTTTTGTTCTCTACTCTGCTGCTTTCACCTAAATTGCAGGGACTTCTATCTGAGATATTTAACCCTCTGTCACACTCAGTGAGAATCATACACAGGATCAAAAGTCCTTCACCAGAAAATAAAATTTACAAAAAAAAAAACCAAAAAAAAAACCAAAC